GGGAAGAGAGAATCAGTTGTTTCCTTTGAGCAGTAATTTTTTTTAAGATTTATTTATTTTAGAGAGAGAGAGAGAGAGCAAGCGAGCAGTAGGGGAGGGGCAGAAGGAGAGGGAGAAAGAATCTCAAGCAGACTCTGCGCTGAGCAGAGCCTGATATGCAGGGCTTGATCTCATGACCCTGAGATCACAACCTGAGCTGAAACCAAGAGTTGGGCGTTTAACCAACTATGCCACCCAGGTACCCCAAGAATATAGTAATTTTAATAATAACAATAATAATAGTGATTGCCATGGTATCATATAATTTGTTTAGCATTTATGTTATATAAAGCATTTATAGTCCATTATATCATTTTATTTTAGTCCAAAGCAGCATGTCCCAAAGTTATGATCCCTGGAATACTGGTTCCTGGGAGTCATTGCAAACTACATTCTTTTATAGTCTGCACTTAGGGATTCATTGTTAAAAGCTCTGAGGAGTCCTGCTGCAGATATATAAAGAAATCAGTTCAGTTTTATATAAACCAGTGTTTACCAAATGTTATGGCTACAATTTTTTTTAGTAAACTTTGTTAATGTCCCATGAATGTAAGGTATGACTAAAGGCACTCAGGGCAGAGAATTTAAATGAACAGTTTTTATTTTTTTATTTATTTTTAAAAAGATTTTACTTAGAGAGAGAGTGCGAGAGTGTGAGAGAGAGGGAGAGAACACAAGCAGCAGGAGTGGTACAGGGAGAGGGAGAAGCAGGCTCCCCACTTAGCAGGGAGCCCAACATGGGGCTTGATCCCAGGACCCCGGGATCAGGACCTGAGCTGAAGGCAGACGTTTAACCGACTGAGCCACCCAGGTGCCCCTAAATGAAGTTTTTAAATGCTGCATTGCAAATATTGAGTTTGTTTACAGTGGTACAGGAAATAAGATGCATAGGACAAGGGAGCACATCAGTCAACACAGGACTGATTTCTCCCTTCATGCCTAGAAGGAGCTAAAGCTGGGGGTAACAGTTGGCATGCATGGAGACCTGGGTGTGTTTGTCATAAGGAAACTGGACCATTTCTTCCATATGCTATACTCGTGAAACTGTGTACCATCCTATTTGCAGCAATACCCTTGCTGAAAAAGAGCAAATGGGTTCTGAAGTTATATTGAGCCAGGCCAGATGAGATCTACTTAATCACCTCTTCACATGATGATGATTTGGAGTATTTCCTATAGAGCAAAATAAATTACCTTTCATCCAGCATGATTAATCATATTGATTGTTTATATATTTCTCTCCCTGGCCATGATATATTCTTCCTAATTTCTTTTAAAGAATGGCTTCTTCCAAAACACTAAGAGCTCAAAAACCTTTAAATGATGTATTATTTATCTCTCTGGTCACACAGATTCCTTCAGAGTCATTACTGACTCATTCCTACAGAGTCATTAAATCCATCAACGGCTCATTTGCTGACTTAATAATCAGCAAATTTGGTTTTCAGGAGACTCAGGCGGCTGTAGAGGGCAGATCCATGAGGTGGTATCACATCCATTACCAGCATGCAGCGGCGAGGTGCTCACTTCAAACCAGGGGAACATGTGTGGGCCTGCAGCTCAGACAGTTTTGGAGGCCCTTTTTAAATAATTCAAATTATTAGACACTACATTGAATATTCACTTAGAAACATCATGTAAACGACCACCATAACAACAAAATACTTAAAGCTGACAAACTCTGGAAAGATCTCAAAATGTAGAAAAAGAAACACATATTTATTTAATATTTAGTTATCTGATACGTGACTCAATAAAATTCTTGTCTGTATGTGCTTGATCACCTATTCCTGCAACAGTGATTTTGTCCTGGTTTCTACGGGGAGACTAGAAGGAGAAATCAGACTCACCTCTGATTGGATCAATCCAGTAATGGATTGGTGGTGAATCACGATGGTGGATGAAATGATATTTTGTTTTGTTTTGTTTTGTTGCCATGGGTGAAAGGATGTTTTTTATTTTTGATAGTGTGGAAAGATTTCTTTCGGCTTCACAACGTACTCTTGGTACACTTTTTAGGATTGTTACCGATTTTAGGAAAACTTCTCTCAATTGTCTTTCACAGACGAGCTGTAGGATTTCAAGGCATTTCAGAGGTTGGTTGTTGCAGAAGTGAATCTTAAATACTTTCTGAATTGATAACACTCATGGATCAGCTTGTCTTCGGGGTCCCTAATGTTGTGGCATATTACGAGGGTCATGTCAGACCCTGCACCTTCATTTATCATGGTGGACCGTGTCAGTAGAGTGGGTGTTAGAAGCATTACTAACAATTGTTCCTGTAGGGGGTGCAGCTAGAAGTAACTAAACTATACACAGAAGAGTCTGTGAACCACACAAATGTCCCACTAAACCAAAACTAGACGTAACCCATCAACTTTCTTAGTCATGATCCAAAAATGCCCATGGCTCCTCCTGTAGAACCCAACACAAAGGGAACTATGAGGAGAAGCTGCAGTGGGAAAGAAACAGTGGCCCCAGCCATTTGTGGTTAAAATATCATACTCCTATAAATTTTACAAGAACATATGGCCATGGAAGCACTTACAAGTGCTCCCCATGAGGAGCCATGAAATTTAAGCTTTATTGGTTTCCTGGTAAATCCACTTCTTCATTTTTGTCCACTCCAATTTTCTTTGGTGGAGCTGCTGTAGTTTCTTTAGAAATGATGCATGTTTGCTTGTTGAACTGAAGGACCAGATCTGTCGAAAATATGACACAACCGTGTAGGAGATGTGCACATGGCTGTATTTCAGCTGGCCAATTTATTACGTTTAATAGAACAATTTCTTGACATTATGGGATCAGTAGCTTTTAAATCTGAGGTTAAAATCATCTCTGTAGCTTTCTAAAAATACAATACACAATACACCCAGAAATTCTGATTCGGTAGACCCAGGGTGAGGAATCTCCAATTTTCAAGTTTCCCAGCTGATTCTGATGTGCTGCCAAGTTTGAGACCCACTGATGTAGACACAATATTTGGATGAATGCCTCTGCCTGCCGCAGTTCCATGGGACAAAATAAAGGGTGAACTTACAAAGAGGCTTTTGGTTTGGTGCAAGCAAGAGTGGTGAGTTCACCATCAAGTCAACTGCACCAGCACTTGGTAAGGAGATTGTCATAGGTTTTGTATTAGCTCAGACTCTTTTGGGTGCAAATAGAAAATCCCATTTCAAACTAGTTTAGGCATCAAAAGGAACTTATGGACTCCTGTGGCCACAATGTTCCTTTCAGGTGTGGCTGAATTGAGGTTTCACATAGCCTTCCACAGGGCATTTTCCATGGAGAGAAAGCACCCCTTTCAATAATGAGTCTTGGAAGAGAGTTTTATTGCCCTGGCTGGGTCAAGTGTCTATTTCTGACCCAATTGCTACATCCAGACCATGGTCTGACTGGCCAGACCTGAGCCAGAGGACCACCTCAGGCCTTCAGGGTTGGTCAGCCTCACTGACCCATGAGACCTGAGAAAGGGGGCGGGGGTTGTTCCCGTAAGGAAAATCAGGGTTGCAGGCAGAAACAACTGATGAATGGGTGGTTGGCTCAGTGACCTCCAGAGCCACTTCTAACTGAGGGCAGACTTGCTTTGTCTTTGCTCAGGCCTCACACTTGCCCAGCCCTGGTGCCGTGCGCATCTGACACCCTGTTCCTGACAAATGGGGCCATGGGACTGTGGGGAGGGGTGCTCTGGAAACTGTCTGGTGATCTGCGGCTTTCTGTCTCCTGTTTGGGTGAGGTGCCTGCAAGCAGTTTTGCAACAGTCCAAAATGAGATTGTGAATCAGAGGAGACTAAGCGGAGAGGTGGAGTCAAGATCCAAAGCCAAAGGAGGCAAAGTCAACAGAGGTTGACAAGAGGATGTTTCCGAAGTACATGGAGGTGTGCATGCGAGAAAGTAATTTTGGAGCAGAAGGACAGCTAGAACAACTGGCAAGGCCATCTCCTGCAGCTGTTGGGGGGCCCAGAACGGCTAACCCCACGATCCACTCACCAAACATGTTTCTCCATAATGAGATAGGTGCTTTTTTGCATTAACTATCACACTATCACAAGTCAGTGGGAAGGCAGACCCAGAGACGGGCCAGCCATATCCCCCTCAAGGAAGGTTCACTGTTGAGCTGTAGAGAGGTCTGTCACCGCACAGCTCCCAGCTGATGGCTCCTTCAGGGCCTACCTGGGCAGCCAACAGCAGCTGGGTCTGAGATCATGCCTGCCCTAGGCAGCCTGCATCTAGATGTGGAGTATGAAGGTCCGGCTAGTTCAGTCCACTGAGGGACAACTTTAATGGCTGTTGCTTGCTCTGCAGCTCTCCACCCGTCCAGGGGCTTTATGAGGCCTGCAGCTCCTTTTCCCCCTCTGCCCAGTTCTTCCCACGAGCTTTCACCAGCATTGATCCCCAGTGAACATCTTGAACCCCAGACTTGGTTTCAGTATCTGCTTCTGGAAAACCCACCCTGTGATAAGTATCATTAGGTTACATTTTAATTGGCCTATTTGAAGTAAGAAGAAACCTGCAACTTGCAAACTACGTTTTAATTCATAAAAAAAAAAAGAAGACCTAGGACTCCTTCTCTTTCGCTTAAAAAAATAAGATATTGTGACACCTGACACTAACACAACACTTAAGTGAATTATACAGGGATTTTTAAAAAATTTTAAAATATGGATATCACATTGAAAAAAATCTAAACTGTGTATTTGCACAGTAATCAAATATAGAGTGCTTGATTCTAAGTTGGTAGTTCCTATATAATTTTTTTTTTAAGTGCAGATTTCTGGGGGGACTTGGGTGGCTCAGTTGGTTGGGCAACTGCCTTCGGCTCAGGTCATGATCCTGGAGTCCCGGGATCGAGTCCCACATCGGGCTCCCTGCTCAGCAGGGAGTCTGCTTCTCCCTCTGACCCTTCCCCCTCTCATGCTCTCTCTCTATCTCATTCTCTCTCTCAAATAAATAAATAAAATCTTTAAAAAAGTAAATAAAGTGCAGATTTCTGGAACGATACAGAGAAGATTAGCGTGGCCCCTGTGGCAGATGACACACAAATTCATGAAGACTTCCCTATTTAATAAATAAATAAATAAATAAATAGTGCAGAATCCCCCCTCAGTTCTTTTTATTAGCCTCTCTTAAGAATCAGAGTGAAACATTTTCTTTGATTTTGCCAAACCTTGAGGACCCTGTAAATTCACAAGAAGTTGTGTAAGGAAAAAGATCTTCTAGTTTAATTAAATATTTGGGTAGGAAGGAGTCATTGTCTTCATCAGATGTTTTCAATCAAAAATTTTAAAAATTAAAATAAGGGGGCACTGGGGTAGCTCAGTCGGTTACGCGTCTGCCTTCGGCTCAGGTCATGATCCCAGGGTCCTGGGATCGAGCCCCATGTGGGGCTCCCCACTCAGTGGGGAGCCTGCTTCTCCTTCTCCCTCTGCCATTCCCCTGCTTGTACTCTCTCACTCTCTCTCTCTCTCTCTCTCTGTCAAATAAATAAATAAATAAAATGTTTTTTTTTTTTAATAAAAAGATTAAACTCAACACTGAAACTGTTTAGAACACGGTATTATTTTTCATTCACAAAGGCATATCGGTATCTCAAAACATATTTACATGATGATTTTGAACCTCGGTTTTATTTCATTACAGCTGTGGAGAGTATGTACTTAGTAGAGGCCTAGAGTTTTTAGAGACCCTGTTAAATTATTTTCTTTTTAAAAGGGAGTAAAATATCATAATTTAGACTCTTAAAATGTATTTTTTTAATCCAAGCCATAAAGCACACAGCTAAAAAATTGAAACAGCTCAGAACAACTTATTATGAGAAAAGACCAATCCCCACATCGGTGCTGCTCACTTCCAGCCTGTCTCTCCTGAAGCAGCCCTATTAATCATTTATGTCGTAAGTTCTGTTAGTGGTTACCTAATGCATCTCTAAATTACGTACTTACGTCGCCACTTCCTGATCTGTCAACTTTGGATATTAAATATTGATTTTCTGCTATCGTGGGTAAGGATTTAGTTCCTCCATTGTCCCAGTTTGTATTTTTGTATTTCTATTTTTAGTTTCTTTGTAACTGTAAATAATATGCTAAAAACTATGTCTTATTCCATTGGTTTTCAAAGGCTCTTGTGATTGCTCCTTTTATGATGAGAATATTAACACCCTTATCCTTTCTTCTACATCTCTTCCCTCCCTTATTTCCTGACCTCTGTTCACTGTTCTCTAACCTTTATGATGTCAATGTTGATAGATTTTTATTCTGTGGTAATCCTAATTAACTATGTCTAAAGGTTGGTTCTACTTATTGAAATGGAAAAAAACAGTGTTCCCTCTTCTATGAGTCATGACTGGTTTATCAGAGACCCATGTCATGTGCTTTGAACATACCTCTTTGTGGTTTCATTGTCATGAAACTTGAACCTCCCCAAGGGGAATGTTCTAGGCGTCAAGGTCAAATGTCTTTTCCTTTCTTATATGCTGTCAGTTATTCAGAACCACACTCCAGTTTAGTTGCTGTATATTTGAATTGTGATTTTTTTTTAAGATTTTATTTATTCGAGAGAGAGAGAGAGAGCACAAAAGCCAGGATGGAGGGGCAGAGGGAGAGGGAGAAGCAGACTCCCTGCTGAGCAGGGAGCCCCATGTGGCCTCCATCCCAAGAACCTGGGATCATGACCTGAGCCCAAGGCGGACACTTAACCAACTGAGCCACCCCGGCGCCCCTGAATTGTGATTTTTTAATTGATTTTTTTCCTACCTTCTGATTGCTTTCTCTCTTATTGTTGCTGGTGAATGAAAAATAATGGGCTTTATTCACTGTTATTTGCATATCTTATTGATTCTGTTGATTGAATTTTTTTTTCTCCTTCTCCTATATCTTGGAGAGTGTCCCCTTGGAGTGCTCTGGTTTCACATTTTAACATGGACTGATTTTTTTTTTCAGAATAGCTGCTCAAGTTTCATCTTGAAGTGTGCTTTCATTAGATGCCTGGTTAGTGACATGGTTTCTTAGATCCCTTATCATTCTGTCTTGGTGTTCACCTTCAGGTAAATTCTTCAGAAATAGTGTAACCTAAACTCTATGAGTTCTTGCATGTCATAAAAAGAAAATGACCATTTCCCATTCTAAGTTGATAGAGTTTGTATGGTACCCTTGATTCAAAACTATTTTTCCTCAGAAATTAGCTGCTGAGAAGGCTAATGCAGTTGAGTTTTATTTCCCGAGGGTGACCTGTTGTTGCTCTCTGGAAGATTTAGAATATTCTTTTATTCTTGGTGCCCCAAAATTTCTCGGTGATATATCTGAGCCTGGGTCTTTAAAAATTAGGAAAAATTTAAGACATATGAAGGGGCATAAAGAATAATATAATGGAAATAAAACACTGGATATTCCTTTTTTCATTTAGTCTCCTTGGCTCACGAAGGTCCCCCTTATTAGAATTTTTATTAGTGGAATGGATTCATCCTCTGTCTCTTTTTTTTTCTATTATCTATTTCTTTTTTTTTAAGATTTTATTTATTTATTTGACAGAGAGAGACAGCAAGAGAGGGAACACAAGCAGGGGGAGTGGGAGAGGGAGAAGCTGGCTTCCCGCTGAGCAGAGAGCCCCACATGGGGCTCGATCCCAGGACCCCGAGATCTTGACCTGAGCCAGTCAGACGCTTAACTGACTGAACCACCCAGCCACCCATATCCCTATATTTTTAGCTCTTCTCTCATACCTGTCTGTCATACCTGAACCCAGAACCACTCTGGAGCTCTGTTGAGAAGATTGGTTCCCTTCTCCACTGCAGCTTCCTCCTAGAATATTCTAAACTGCCACCTCCTCAGCTATTAAACTTCTATCTGTTGCTGTCTTCCAGAAATTTGCTTACATCTCTCATCTGCAAGGTCACCCTCTGAATAGCTTGCTTTTATTACTGTTTTTATTCCTGTACTATTATTTTAATGGGATTTCTACAGAGAAGAGAATCAAAAATATGTGCTCAGCATGTAGATGACATTGTGAATCAAAAAAAAAAGTAAGGATTTTCCATTCTGCCCTCATTTAAAAACTTATAGACGTGTAGAAAAGCTAGCCAGTTTATGACACGTTTCTCCTGAAGGACCCTATAAGGATAAACTTCCTTATATATATATATTTGAATATAAAGCAATTAAGTTCTCATTATGAATGAGAACTCCTTGTGTCTAGAACCTGACAGGTACTGCCTCCTTGAATGCTCATTTTACAGAGGGAGAAACAGAGGCCCAGTCCAGCAGTTTACACAAGGCCACACAACTAGTAAGTGGCAATTCAGTTTCAAAACCCAGTTCTGTCGGCTTCCTACACTGTGCATGTTGCCTATGAGGGGGCATAGGCTGATACAAAGTATGAAGGATGCCAACAGAAGCAACTTCTGAGCATAAAATAAAGACCCTAAGTATCTAGTTCAATTGATTGTGGCCACAGTCCATGTGTACACCAAAGGTGACCAGAAATTCTTTGTGAAGAGAAGATACTCTTCTTTCTGCCTAAGACTGAACATTCCAAGGGAGCAGGTTTAATTGACGCCCAAGTCTTTTGTGGTAAACAGGCTGTTGTCTTTTATTTTAGTTCTCTTCTTGAAAGGCTCTGCTGAACTCTGTCCTCAGCAAATGCACTACAATCATATTGGCATTTCAGTTTTGGAGAAAAAAATCATTAATTACAATGTACATTATTGAACACCCAAAGTAGTAGGATTACACTCTGGGAAGGGCAGCATATGCACCCTGTATTAATCAATTATTGCTACAAATCCAAACCATACTGACAGTATTAGACATGTGATTTTTTTTTTTTAAAGGATGGAACTGCTTTACTTACACTAATCTCATGTTTCCTTTCCTCAGTTTGAAGTTTTAAAAGACTGACATTTTCTGTGGGTTAATTAAATCAAATATTTAATACTATTTTTAAAAACCCATTTCATGACAATGAATTGAACATATGCAGATGGAAAGAAATGAGAACTGTAGCTCTCCAGATGGAAGCTCTTCAGAACAGATGCCATCATCTCGACATGTGCTCTGGAGGAAGAGGATTAATCAAAATAAGGAATAACAATGTAGTGCTTACTGGTTATGGCTGGTTCCTAGTTTATAGGGTAACTGACATATGTGCGGGGGTCAGAATGCAGTGAGGCCAGTGCAAAGAGCCACTGCTTCATATGGTACAATTTGCAAGGGAGTCAGGAGCAAGGGGTATAGCTTGTCTCGTTATTTTAATTATTGTTTTAATTAATTGCTGGAAGTGAAATTGCCATCTCTAGAAACCCCGAGATAGGCACAGCAGCAAGGAGGTACAGAGCCCTCGCAAAGGGCTCAGAATACCGGTCCTCCAGCTCTGATTTTCTCTCCTTAGCAAGTTGATAGAAACACCTAACCTGGGGGAAATGTTACCAGCTAATATTATTTTCCTCAATATATCTTTTTCTACTGAGCCAATTAATCTTTAAGAAGATTTCTCTTTTTGTGCTTTATGGGCTGAGTGTTGGTATTTTGCCTGTGCTATTCAAGGAAAGAAAGGGAAATTCTTGGCAAAATAGATTTGTGTTGCAGTTGATTGGAATGGAAAGACTTGAATGATGAATTCAGATGAGTTCTGCCTGTGTTCTGCCAAATTTTTTTTTAATAGGAGAAGGGGATCAAAAGGTTAAAAATGAGGGAAGGAAAGGAGGGAAGAAGGAAGGCAGGCAGGCAAACCAGTGACAGTTTTGCAAAAACCTCTGCCCTGTATTCAGATATTTAAGCCACATTTGCCTTTGATTTCTCTCTGAAATAGCTCTACAAAACTCAAGGTATACTTGAAATTTAAGCAAGGTTAATAAAAGAACCTGTAAGCCTGGGAAAGGTATTAGAGCCAGATTCATGCCCAGATAATATTGGCCAATGAAATCATCTTTATGAGAGAGAAGAAGACCTCAGTGGTGTAAGATACCATGATGTTATGAGAGGCTAGACCTGAATATGACCCTTAGAGTCAAGATCCTAGCAGGGCAGAAAAACAGAACGAAAGGAGAACTGAAGTATGGCTTACTAGAACCTTC